CTCTTTCCTGGCCCCTCTCTTCCAGGTGTGGATAGATGCTGGGACCCAGATTTTCTTTTCTTATGCCATCGGCCTGGGGGCCCTCACAGCCCTGGGCAGCTACAATCGTTTCAACAACAACTGTTACAAGTAGGTCCTACAGCCCTGCTGACCCCTGCCCTGCCTGCCCACCTGCTGTGCCCGGGAGCCTAACCACCACTGTGTCCCTTGTCCCCCAGGGACGCCATCATCCTCGCACTCATCAACAGCGGGACCAGCTTCTTCGCTGGCTTCGTGGTCTTCTCCATCCTGGGTTTCATGGCGGCAGAACAGGGGGTGCACATCTCTAAGGTGGCAGAATCAGGTAAAGCCCCACCCCGAGCAACAGCTGGTCCTGCAGGACACCGTACAGGAGTGCACATGCAAATCGAGATCCTGAAATTCAAACTGAACTTGTCCGATTGCTCTGGGCCACAGGTGGCTGGCTGAGCAGCTGCGAGCCACAACTGTCCTCCGGCACGCTTGGGCTGGGCCAAGCAGAGACTTGCACCCCTCCGTCAGTCCCCGAGGGAGCCTCCCAGACACCTAGGAAGGGGCATGCACAAGGCGTGGGCATGCCTTGCCTTACCTCTGGCCCCTCAGAGGGGTGTGGGCACCCTGGACAGGTACCCAGCAGCCTGGCCTAGCTCTAGCCCTGCTCCTTCTCCTCAGGGCCCGGCCTGGCCTTCATCGCCTACCCCAGGGCTGTCACACTGATGCCAGTGGCCCCACTCTGGGCTGCCCTGTTCTTCTTCATGCTGCTGCTGCTCGGCCTGGACAGCCAGGTATGCGGGGGCCCTGGGGTGGGGTGTGTGGGGAGAGAGGAGTGGAGAGGCCAGCAGGGACTGGACTGGGCTAGGGGGAGTTGTGCATCAGCTGCTCTGGCCACAGTTTGTAGGTGTGGAGGGCTTTATCACTGGCCTCCTGGACCTCCTCCCGGCCTCCTACTACTTCCGCTTCCAAAGGGAGATCTCCGTGGCCCTGTGCTGCGCCCTCTGCTTTGTCATCGACCTCTCCATGGTGACCGATGTGAGTGTGGTGGCAGGATGGCGGGCTGGCCCTGGCCTCCAGCCCCAGCTCCGTCAGCTGCCCCTGACCTACCTCTTTCCTTCAGGGTGGGATGTACGTCTTCCAGCTGTTCGACTACTACTCAGCCAGTGGCACCACCCTGCTCTGGCAGGCCTTTTGGGAGTGTGTGGTGGTGGCATGGGTGTATGGCAG